GTGACGAGTATACAGAGTCGCCGGACTAACGAATATGTTCTCATCCTGTCCGGCGGGTAGGTGGACGATCCCGTCGACTGCTTTGATCACGGTCTGTCGGAGTGTGTGGTACCTCTGAATGTAACAAGAAACACATCACGAACGCATGATTAATGACGGCGGAAAGAGAACAAAGCCTCGCAAGAGCACTGCGTGCACTATAAAGGAGCGTTTCATCTGATAAGTTTGTGAAAATACCCTATGCCAAGCCAAGGACTGACTTAGACTTATGACTCTGCCCCTCGCGGCCTGCCCACCAGCGGCAATGTGAGCACCGCTTCCTCCTCACTCGCCATTTCTGCATGGAAGTCGTTCAGGCATTGCGGAATGGATCGATCATCTTTGATACAAGACGTTAGGATATAGTCCCTCCCATGCCTTTTCTCTTCCAGCGAAACTACACGGCAAGCTTCGAGGTTTTCCACAGCAGGAAGATCTTCCTTGAGGCACCACATCAAGGCATCAAGATTTGCGCTCGGTAACAGACTCAGTGAGCCTTTCGGTTGAACGAATTGGGTGGGATTTCTTCACTGAAGCTGAAATGAATCTGACCGAGAACGAAGACGATATTTGACATCCTCGACGACTCCTACCTTCGCCAGGTCCGGGTTGCGAAGATTGGTGATAACCTTCACTTCGAAGAGATTTCAAAAATAGTATGTACAGTGTATTCGCACCCGCGCTGCGTTCGCACTCGCAACGAAAGCGAGCGCGCAAGATCGCCACTAGAGTTCGTCTTTCACCCTCGACTGGGTGGCGTGAATGGCACGCTTTGCTAGCTTCTACAGGTCACTAACCCGAACGAACACATGAAGACATCAGGCCGGAGCGGATTGAGTAACGTCAAGTTCGCTGGCGCACAAAGGCTGCAAATGCATTTTCGACATGCTCACCAGGGACCACCATGTCTGTCTCGGTCGCATCCATTGTCTATCCACACCAAACCTCTCCCAGTCCCAGCCCAAGAATACGATGTGTTTACTGTCGGCCAACAACAGCAGCATCCAACGCACAGCAACGCCATTTCCGCGCACTATCATTACCGACCCCTGGCGGAAACAAACTTACTGTGCAAAGGGCTGCATGGGCATTCCAGTCCTGCTCGTGCAAACGTCGCGATAAACACACTCGCTTCCCCTGCTCGGCAACAAGACTCTACGGTTCGTTTGGAGTCAATCCCCGCTGGTTCTGAACAACGCCGAGTCGAGTCAGTTGACCTGATTGTAAGTAAAGTAAGTATTAGTTGTAGGTTTCGGTTCACCTAAAACTCCATGCCTCATGACAGTTCATGTCTACTCGATCGTAAGAGTCGTAACTGAGCGTGAGTCGCAACGAGCGTGGTCTTCATGTGGACCTTTCGTGGTCTGGTGAGGTGACTGGTCTACATAGTCATTGAGTGAGTCCTGGGCAAGATACCGGTATCGCGTGGAAGTGTGGAAGTTTGGAACTTTACAGCATGTAGCTGAAGTCTAGTGGAAAACGGATGAGTCTACGTGTTATAAAGAACTGATCCGTATTCCCCCGAGACCCCAGCTATATTGTAGAGTTCCTGGTAGAGTCGCACTGATCACGCGCGGCGCTGGGATACACGTAGCACAAGTAACATAGTTACTACAACACACAATATTGGTAACGAATAATTGTGCACCCAGCTGACATTGACAAAAGAACAGCGCTTGATAAGTTGAAGATAACGCATCACCGAAGGGGATTGATTCTCAGTCGTCGATGGTTTCCTGCCAACTTTGCGTTTTATAAATGTCTCAAAGAAATGAAGTGCTAGTTCGCAAAATCAGAAATGTTCTCAGTTGACATAAAGCAAGGTTTAGAAATATGAAAGGAATTCGGGTGGACACACCCATTCCCATAGCGCTGCACATCCGAACCAGTTTCGTTATTCCGTTTTGTCCACCCGAATTCCTTTCACAGATGAAGCTGCAGCAAGCCTCAGCCCTTCTTCAGGTTTAGAAATATTTTCCTTTAATGTCGGAAGTCATTGCGATCGGTTCAAGCAGTCACTCCAAGCTGTGCGAGAGGGATAAAACAAGGCACGGCAATCAATGTAAACAAGTGTCGAGGCGACAATAGTCACAGAATGGCGATCAACAGTACGAGCTGAACCTACATTTTAAAAAGGCTTTGGCATCTAAACCTATTGTCGTCTCCACGCCTATTAATTCCGATCGAGATACACACAGAATGATTAATTTTGCTGAATGCCGTGCTCAAGAAACGTTTCTACTGCTGTAATGTCAAAGCCTTCGAGAAACGTCGGTTCAGCTCTTTCTGTTGATCGCAATTCTAGAAATCAATCTGTATGGAGTTGTTTTTGTTATTGGCATCTACCAGAAGGACTGGATTTCCATGTGAGGGAATTGCTCTTCCATTTTTTTAATTACTTTCAGTGCACCGTGTAATCCCAACAACAGTGCTACTACCCTACTTTTTTGCAGAGATGACAGAATAATTAGATCGCCCTTCTAGTAGTAAGTCGAAATGTCCAAACAGCTCTCTATTAGGACACTGGGTAGGATCGTTAACCGATTTCTCGCAAAATCAGGTACATGTATAATATGTAGCACACTTATAGCCATCTTTCGGAACTGGTTTTCGGGCGGTGTAACCCTATGTAGCCACATTGGTCACAATCTCTGCGGAACGACTACGTGCATTGATTCTTGGTGCTGGTAGCTGGTAGCTGCTGTATGGGGCAGCAGGTGGGTCTTCATGCAGGTAAATATGCAACTCGATCGCTGATTTTTCTTGGATCCAGCGCATACCGACATCATCGGCTACATCTTCGGTCCAATGCTCTTCCTGCTGATCGCTAATCCGAGTACCGCTGTTGAAAGAAACAAACGTAAACAATGAATTTAGGCATTGGCGGATAATGCTCGAAAAGGTGGCAGATTCTGGTCGAAAAGCAGTGAAATTGGCAGAACCATACAAACCTTATGGCGGGCAATTCCTCGAATTCTGCTCCATTTATTTATCCACATACCAAACATGCATGAAACTTACCAGAAAAAGTACCGAATTCAGCCAATTTTTCTGCCGGCAGAATCCGCTCCACCATACCGAGTTATCCGCGTGATCGCAGCCGCAGGAACGCCACCACCCTCTATACTACTCTCTAGGATCAAGATGCAGATGCGCTAAGTGGTGGGAGGTGAGTAGATCAGACCCACCACAAAGACATACATCATTACATGTAAGTGGAGTGGTCAAAGACAACGATTGATTTTTGCCTGTGTATTGAGTTTGACTTTGAGCTACTCAGACAGTCAGAGTAGCTAGGCTGCGGACAACACAGCCGCATGCCGGTCGTCCGAAATCATTGCCGTCACGTGCAGAAGGCGCCGCCGCGACTCTGACACTGTTTCAGGCAGAGACGTGACGTGGCCTTTGCAGCAGGCTTCACTCCTTTCATCCTTGTCTGTTGTCATCCTTTTCATCCTTTCTTTCGTGACAACGGTTATACGTCGAGCAGCTGCATGCTCTGGTTCTGTTGAAAATGTCATCGTCCGAAATGTGTTATTGTGCAGTAGGATCCATTCAGTTATTCGCTCCACTTTGCTCCACAGCAAGGATAGAACCTTCGAAGCGACGATTGGCCTGTGAAATGTCTTGCGATTGTTCTGGGAGACCTAGCAGATATAAAGGCCCAACTCCAAAGCAAGCTCACGAGTAACAGTTGTCTTGAGACTTCTTAGACTTCTTTCTTTGTGGCTGTAATGATTTGAAGAGATTCCGCGCGTTAGGACAATCAACTACCGGTACTAGTAGTTCACCGTGTGTTAGCCCAGCAGTGGCGCTGGATCATTCTTAGCGCTCTGCCATACCGGTAGCGCACAGTAAGCGTTGAACGGCGTACAGGGCAAACAGAGCGGCGCTGACTGGAAGTAGTTATCACCGGGCGAGAAATCAACGCTCGTCAGCTATTGATATCTTGGCTCGTCGCAAGCGAATGGCGAAGAGCACCAGTGGAGATCATCTGTCCATATTATAAATTTAATCTTTCTCCGGTAAATGCATGAGGAATTTATTGCCTAATGTGTACACATAGTCGATCTGAACAAGACGTGAATGTCAACTGGGCGCACTCAACGTAGTCTGCCTGAGTATTTCTGAGACCGGCACTGACCTAGTTGTAGGTGCACTCCGTGCTAGTTTGTGACTGTCAGAAGTATTACCAGTACATACGATGGACACCACCAAAGCCGATGCGACATGTCGCGAGCGACTACAGCAGCTACGTGCGCAGCACGGCAGTTCCCACGGTTCCGACGCCGCTTTGAACGAGGCCATGCGAAAGTTCGCGGATCGCTGCGGACTGACCGCACCGTCATCGTCGTCGGCCAAGCGAGTTGGTCCCGTGCGCCGACGCGGATGCTGTGCGTGTTGCTCTCTGTTCTGGCTGCTGCGGCTGGTGGCGGTGGGGCTTACACTGTGGGCGGTGTGGAGCTCGAGTCCAGCATTACGGACGGGCGTCCACGCTTTCGTCGGCAAGCACTCGTACCACTACTTCTCGCGACCGACGCGCTTCCTGACAATGCCGTTGCTAGAGATGTATCCGGTTACGCTGAAGCGCTGGTTCCATAGTTCGCACTGCTTGGTGAACAACCCCTACTTCAAGCACACCGAGCCGTCCGTCTCCGAGCTGAGCGAGGAGAACGCCAAGGAGGTGAACTGCGCCTGTCACGGCATTCACTCCGCTGATGTTTTAGCCCGCTCGGCATGGGAGGCTCTGACACCGCGCTTCCTGGACGACGGTGGTGTGCCGAGCGTGCTGAGCGATCACGGTCGTAGTATGTCGGCGCCGGAGTTTGCGGCATGGCTGACCGACACCGAGGCCATACTTAACCAGACGACGTGCATGGTGCTGACGCACACCGGCGACGACAACATTGACTACTCGTCGCCGGCTATCCGACCGAATCGAGTGACCCAGGGCCGCGGCAAGGAATTCCTGGGCGTCTCCTGGATGATGTGTCCTGGGGCTATTGGCGCCTCGGAAGTAACCGGCCTGGCAAACGCGATCCCCGAAGCAGAGGCCGCCGGCCTTCAGGCTGCTGATGATATATGGCTGACGGTGGCCATGCGTGGAGATCGGGAACGACGCGCCAACCGTGCGACGCCGTTCGACATGAGCTCGCTGGCGTCGAACTTGCTCGTGCGCGTTTCGCTGATCGTCGGCCAGGTGGACGTTCGCCTGAGTCCGGCCAACTGCCAGCGCTGCATGCCCGTGGAGGTGTCCCTCACGCCCGGCCTCTCCCTGCTGTACAACAGCAGCGTGTGGCTTCACGACCAGATCGTACACAACGCGCATCCCGACGTCTCGGTCACCGTCACCACTGCTTACCGCTGGCCAGTGGCGGAGAACGCGTGGGTGAACGACATGGCCGATAGGTATGGCGAGGATCCAGACGTCATGTTCAAGGGCGCCTCGTAGCACCGTGGCCCGTACAGTGCTGCTCAATGAAACTCGATCGCGTGAAGAAAGTAAGTTAGTCTGCGCCCTGTGTCAGTACACATCCCAATGTTGGCAGGTCTAGGGCTGCACACACTCAGTACCCGGCATGGTGTTGATCGGCTTGATCAGATTCCGTTGATCCGTATTGTACATGTACTTGCTTGTACTTCGCTGCTGAAACATTCATTACCTGAACAGGCCGAAAGCTGATGCCTGCCCTCCGGACATGCAGGGTTCATGTCCGTATCGCGTGTACGCTTTCGTTGTGTGTGTGTGTGTGTGTGTGTGTGTGTGTGTGCGCGTGTGTGTGCGCGTGTGTGGGTGTGTTTGTGGATGCCATTTCCCTCCAATCAAGTTATATTTCAGAATTCGAGAGTATTTTTTTTATGAAAAGGGAACATTATTTTTCAAAGCCTCTATATTGGTGATTGATCAATCACCAGTGTCATTACTAGGGTGTATCTGAAGAGGCTGATTGCAACGCGCAGTTTATCTTTTACCGTACTGTGCGGATAACCGCCCTAAAAGGGCTGCACTCTAAGTGCGATTTGCATCATGGCAAAGTCATGATAGAATCCTCCCTGAATGATCAGCTTCAGGCCAAGACATTCTGCTGACATGACCAGCTTGACATGATTGTAGATTCTCCTTGTTTCGAATTACTTACTATTTTTTTTAAATAATTATACATGTACTTTTGGTCTACGCCTTCCGCAGTGATCAAGCTCTTTCACCTGTTCAGAGCTGGTAACACCCGTTCCATTTATAGAGTCCCCCTATTACAATCATTTTGAATTTATTTGACTTCAGATGTTTCCGATAGCGCACAAGATACTGTGTTGATTGAACTAATTGCTTCCAATAAGTATCGTTTTGTTTTGTCAGTTGTCACCCTGCCAATCGTTTGACTTCTCTCTTCTTGAGTATATTTTTTTCTCAGATGCCTGGGAACAGAGTGCGTGCTTGGTGGGAGGAGTTTGGTATAGCTAGGTGGCGTGTCATGAGTGCTGTGCTCGCGGTGTGTGTGTGTGTGTGTGTGTGTGTGTGTGTGTGTGTGTGTGTGTGTGTGTGTGTGTGTGTGTGTGTGTGTGTGCGTAGTCCGTGTATGTGCATGATGCACATGATCATACATATATATGATGCATATACATGGTCGAAAGGTCGAAAAATTATTCCCGAAATGACGTCAAACGGTCCGAACATTCCCGAAATGACGTCAAACGGTCCTGATACTCCTGAAATGACGTCAAACGGTCCTGATGGCCTGATTATGCCCGCGGCGGGAAGATGGCCATGGCCCCGGCGACGATCACGTGTCGTGTAAGAAAATAATTATTATGCTTCTGATATGACCAGTTATCGTATGGTTATGTACACAATGGTGCATGAGGCATCGAGGGTAGCCTCGGGGTAGTCATAATGACTGTATTCATGCAGTCATGCAAAATAAAATTACTACTGTAAATCGACAAATTTTGGCCGGTGAGAAACTTTGGCCGATCTCGAAATGAAACTTTTGGCCGTGATCAAACTAATTACTTTTATTTGGCCGACTGGGGTTCAATCTTGCATCTGTTGACTCTCTGATAAACTTTGGCCTGCGATTTACTTTGGCCGGTTGGCACCAAGCAGCGAAATCAGCGAAATTAAATTGCCAGCGAAAATTAGTTGATTTACAGTAGTCGAAAACATTATTGAACACTGCGCTACTACATGATAGTATACCGGTAGTATGAGTAGCAATACGATTAGATTTTGACCGAAGTAACAGGTTTTTATAGTTGGCAGACTTTCATTTCGAACAAGCTGCCAGAAGTGATTAGGCTCTACAATACGCACTGGAACGCCTGGCGCTGACAAAGATTATCACCCAGGATTAGTTGCGAAGTATGCAGGAACGGAGATGTGAATCTTGTCCTCCCCTCTCAAACAGAAACAATGATCCTGTGGCTGTACTGTAGATCTGGCTTTCTTTGATTTCAAAACGTGACATGACTGTACATACTCAATATTTGAATTTCCCGCAAATTTCCAGTGAAAAATGGAATCGTATGATTATCGTATTCCGACAGCAAATTCTTCTTCTCGCTACGTTCAGTCTCATCGCGATGTGGAGGCCCAGAAAGCTGTGGCACTGGAACAGTGTTTGAAGGACAAGCGTCTGGCGGAACAGCTGGCTGGACGAAGTAGTGTGGTAAGAATCTTCGGAGAGCTAGTAACAAATCTTGGAAAAAAAATTTAATCTTGAAAGCTGGGTGATTATAGTACAGCGTACGGACCAGTTTTGATGGTCTGCAGTTGAAACCAGGGAGTCCTAAAAAGTAGTTTACGACTACCTGGTTGAAACATAAGTCAGCATACATATTATCTAGCCTTGCCTGCAGCCACTATCACAGCTTCCAGATACATGACAAGGGCGTCGGTCGGAAGGCCGTAGAGGTACGGTCAGCCACCTACAGTACAATTTGCTCCGGCGTGGGGTTTGGGGTGCCGTATGTTCCGGAGTATAAGCCGCACTGGAGTATATGCTGCACCCCCCCCCCAATTTTTTGCGACGAAATACCGACATCTACCCTATTTATCACCCAAAGGGTTAATTTGATCATCGGAGTATAAGCCGCCGCCCCCCCCCCCCTTTTTGGGTGAATTGTGTGTGTTCAAAGTGCGGCCTATACTCAGGAAAGTATGGAATCTCCGCTGAAAAGTTATTGCCCAACTCAGTGCATATGATTGCTTCACAGGGCACCCGGGACACGGAACACTGGTACCGTCAATACCGCAGTGACTGGGGACGTACTAAAAAAGCGGTGGTTTAGTACTCCCCTGGTAGTGACCCGCATAGCATGGCCGACACTCCCGCATGAGAGCCGCTGAGGTCACATGACAACGTGTGCGTGCAGTCGCAACACAAATCCAAAGCCTAAGCAGAGCATTCCCAAGCAAACAGGGCGTGCAGCTGCTCAACATGTTGAGTTGTCCACTTGTCACAGCCTGCACTCCTCGTTTCTCTGCGGCAACACCGACCGTGGGAAACCTATGTGCATACCGTCTTTCCTCAAATATAAGTCGCACCTTCTTGCGCTATACAGTGTAGTTCAAGGGCAAAGAAGGGAGTGCGACTTGCAATCGAGTGTGACTTCCTACTTATGTGAAGTTGTTGAAACAATATGGCCGAAACCTGAAAATGGGTGTGCGATCGGGGAAATGCGGCACCGGGTTACAGTACTACAGTCCATTCACAGAAAGATGGGCCCTGGCTCTGGTGAGCTGCCGTATTTGGCGATTTTTCAAGATTTTATCGTACACAGTGCAGTGCTGCGAAATTTGAAATTTGAAAAAGGGTCCAAAAGGGTTCCTGAACTGGGGTTCGAACTGCACAATGCACTCTTGCAGGCAGGGTCAAACGGCCTGGATTTTTATGGTTTTTCCCAATTCAGTGCTATTGGGGCAAAACCTGGCCGAAATCCTATGCTTGCTAAGGCTTGCTTTTTGGAGAAATAGACTTCAGAAACATAATTGGAAGAGGATTCCATAGGGGATTGTAGAAAAAAATTCTACAAAAACTCAATGTTTGACCCATTTATGGCCAGAAGCTAGAAGTCGATCTTTTTCTGAATGGACTGTAGGTGTTTCTCCTCTCCGCCACATGCTCTGGGAAAAGCCGCGAAACGGCCCAGAGTTTGTGCTGCTCACGCCATCAAGGTGTGCCGGAATTCCGTGCCCTTTGTCAGTGGGCCATGGCACGTGTGCTTCATTGGCACCGGGCAAGGCTGTTTTGTTTCGCCCTGAACTTGCTTAGGAGTTAGAACACCATCAGTTAAGTCCATTCTGATTCCTGCTTTTCATGAGATGCCAAGTGGCTGTTGTAGTTTCTGGCAAAGGAGACTTGATGTCGGTGGCATTTTTACTTTTTTGTTTACACTGATTGCAAATCACAAGGGGTTATCGTCTTCTTATCGACTGGCATTGTGTCCCCCCTCCCCCTTTCCCTCTACCCCAATTTGTTAGTCACACTGCTTGTGAAATTGTATCAAGGAAGTTTGTTGCCTTTGATTGATCGTCAAGTGACGAGGTGGCCGAGTGGTTAAGGCGATGGACTGCTAATCCATTGGGCTCTGCCCGCGTGGGTTCGAATCCCATCTTCGTCGGGACTTTTTTTTGACCTTTCCGAAATGGGTAGGAAAACCAGTGAAAGGTTGTACCAAGAGTACATAACCCCCCAGAGTGTGCAACGCCGATCCAGCTCTGTGTAGGGTCTTGGTCGAGCGGAATCGGATCTTCTGATGTCATGCGTACACTTCACACCAGCGCTAGCGCAAGGCCGGTCTCGAGGCAGGGCACCATTGTTTTGATCCAAGAGTACCCGCGACTTCCCGGGTTCCCCTCAGATGTGTACGGTATTATGACGCAAAGATCCGATTCCGCTCGACCAAGACCCTATGCAGAGCTGGATCAGGCGTTGCACACTCTGGGGGGTTATGTACTCTTGGTTGTACCGAGAGTACATAGCCCCCCAGAGTGTGCAACTCCCACGTACCCTGCTGTCCCGGCAGAATTTCAAGTTGACGTCATTATTTATGACACAATGCTCCTTGCACCAGTGATTTACAACATGTGTACGGGTGTCAATGCATCACACGTTTTTCTTTGCAATAATTTGTACAGGATCAGATCGGCTTCGGTCAACCACAGGTTCCGGATTCGTCTGATAATCCGTGTACAGTGCGCATTGCATCATCAAAATGACGTCAACCTGTCGGGACAGCACCCATAGTCGAGTTGCACACTCTGGGGTGGGGTTATGTACTCTTGGTTGTACCAAGAGTATTTAAGGCCAAGCCAAAGATTATCGTCCCTGCTCGTCACAAATTTGGGGGCCGCCCGGGAAATTTTATTTATTTTCGGAGCTACATACGGAAACCAAGCAGTTTCACTTTTTCACAGTGAAGCCTGACGGGAACATCGATTTGGGTCCCATACTCGTACAGTCAGACCTCGCTTATCCGGTCCTCATTTATCCGGATCCCTCACCATCCGGAAGAAAATTGTTGGTCACCGATTTACAGCAATGCTATGCACACACACCGTGTGTGTTTTCGATTATCCGGTTCCCTCGCCCATCCGGATATTTTTGTGGAAAACGGATGTGTGCGGTTAAGCGAGGTCTGACTGTACACATTTTGAAGAATGTAACCAAGCTTGGCACACTGTTCACAAAATGTGCATTGTTTCTGGAGTACTGTTTGGTTGGCGTGAGGCTGCTCCATGTGCACCAGCTGGTCGTCCCTGTTCTAGATCGTACCAACCAAACACACTCTCAGGGATCAAACAATAATGCATAAAAAATAAAATCCGCCCACCCTCCCCATTTTTCTGAAAAAGGGACGATCATCAAGTATATTCTTTGGCTTAGCCTAAACAAGTGTTTAATCCCGCTTGGTTTGGCCCACTGTGGATTTTCTGTTGACGCTTTGTGCCCGTTTTGCCTATACACATTCCACCAACTGTTCAGTTAGTTGCCGCTATCTTTTCCCGCTGCATGCGTGGACTTGAGGTTGACACACTTTTGTCTTTTCCAGTGAAATTCTTCTCCGCTTCGCTTGTGTTGTCGGTACAGGTGGTGAACGTTCCGCGGTCTTCTCACCGCTACACGGGACTCATACCGCTGCAAGATGAGCCGGCATTGGATCAGAGCTGCTCGCCTCCTGCGGCGAGCAAAAAATCGACGAAGCGCTCACCGGCGACATCTAACCGAGTTGCACCGAAGCCGTCCGCGTCGCGTACATGTACGTCAAAGTTCCCCGAAGGCTGTGAAAGCAGGGCTGTGTCGGCGAAAAGCAGTTCAGAGCGGACTGGCGCAGGCACATGTGTCGAGAAGCATGTCGTGGACAAGTACCTGGCGTTGTATCCTTGCCGATCTGTCTGTGTTATGTGCTGTGTGTGTGTGTGTGTTTTGGGGGTGGGGCATGGATGTGTGTGTGTGTGTGTGTATGTGTATTGGGGGGGGGGGGGTGCATGTGTGTGCATGTGTGCGTGCATGCATGGGCGTGAGAGAGACAGAGACATATTTAAACTTCCGCCTCTGGTGCTATCACCTTCACGAATGTAAGGGAGATATACACTCGTACGTGTACATGTCTAATATACATACATGTGTTTACTTACATGGGCCACTGGCGGGAACGTGCACACACACACACACATACACACACACCACACACAAACATGCACACACGCACACAAGCACACACACACAAGCACACCCACACACAAGCACACACACACACACACACACACACACACACACACACACACACACACACACACACACACACACACACACACACACACAAGCATACACACACACACACACACGCATGCATGCACGCACACACACACACACACACACACACACATACAAACACACATGCGCCCGCTCACCCACACACACGCACGCTCTCTCTCACACACATGCGCACACGCGCGCGTGCACACACACACACACACACACACACACACACACACACACACACACACACACACATGAAGCGCTTCAACAAGTGCGTAACCCCTTCCCTCCGTGCGCCATTCGTCCTGTTTCTTAACTGCACTGTGCTTCAGCTGCTCTGCCGACCTTTTCCCTGGCGCCGTTCACATCCCGCCGCCGATCAAGACGAAGTCACAGCAATCAGCCACCACTCTGTGCACCGTTGCCCCACCAGCTACCACTGCATTTGACCTGTACAAAGCATTGCATCCCGCTTGACCTTGACGCTGCTGCCGGTGAAACTAGCCATCACCAGCCCTGTGTGGGTGTGTAGCAAGGGCACTTGGAGAGCAAGGACACCGTTCCATGGCGGGCTACTGGAAAAACTAAATGCCTCGTCCATAGCACGTCCCTCATCTCCCGCTGGTCCGGCTTATGTTATCCGTGAGGTACGTCGTCTGAGTTGGGTTTGTGTCGCGTTGTGTTGCCAGGAGATCGCTGCTATTCTGTGTGGTCTACTAGAGCCTGGACGAAAACCGAGTATTTACCTGAGCTTCGAGCTGAGTTTTCGCTAAAGCTTCGGAATTTGCGGGCAGCTACAGCCAAAGCCTGATCATGTTCGTGGGTACTTGTCTAGTACCTATACATTGCTATGTCTAACATAGCTGTTCGCTATCATCGCTTCCGCGATGGGCAGGTCTGAGGTCTGAGGTCTGAGCACCTATACTGTAAGACATGTAATTGTAGGTGCATTATAATGTCGGTGCCAGGAATCTGCCAGGTGTCAGGTGTAATGACGTAGAATTAGGTGACCAGCACTCCCTTCACATACAGTGCATACTCTAGTGCCTTTTAGTTGTAATTTAAATATAGGCGCCTGGTTTCTCTACCCATATCACCGAAATTAGAGTTACACCGAAAATGCCATGTGTTTAGAGTATTGTACGTTGTAATTGTGAAGTCAGAACTGTTGTGGGATTACTGTCACCAGGTGATTGGCACTGGTGGTGCTCTACTTTGATACCCGTGTTCTACTACACGGATACGCGCTGCATCTGCCACCCTGGTATCACAGGCATGGGGTGGTGGTCTGGCACGAGCGAAACTTCCTAAGCTGGTTGTGTGTGTTCTCAACGCAATTGTATAGCCGGTGGTAACGCGGACGTGCGGACTTTACTACTACACGAATCGTGTGGCCAGCGTCCTGTACGTGTACAGTGAAAGCCGCTTAGTACGCACGGGGTGTAAGACGTACTATTGTCCAGTGCGTACGTTTAGCAGTTGACGAAAAATTGGCACACATGATTGCAGCGTGGGTGTAGTAAGTACGGTAGTAGGTTGGCTAGGAAGTACTTTTCCGTGCTCGCTTGTGGGTACGTCTTATCAGGTTTTGACTGTGTACCGATGACAGCATGTCACACGGCCAAGGACGCACTGGCCAGCCACTATCAAGCAAGGCTTGCGTATACTCTGTACGTGTACTGTGTACTGTGTGTATTGTATAGCACGTTATCTGCTGGTGTAACTTGAATTTCCGTAATTTTGTTAGAGAAACTAGGCACCTAGATTTAGATAACATGTAAAAGGCAGTGAAGTATGCAATGTACGTGAAGGGTAGGCTGGTCATCTAATTTTACATGACACCTGAAACCTGGTAGGTCCCTGACACTGAAATTTAAATACACCTAAAACTGCATGTTGTACACTATGTATGTGCCATCCGGTGGCTGTGTGAGGGTATTGCAGGTCACTGGTATCGTGAACTTGTGATTCCGCTCTACGTTGCCTTGTGGGTGCGTACCGAGCGTGTGACACTTGTCCGCGGTGCGCCACCCGTTTGCCAGGCCGCGCGCGCACACACACAGCTGCGGCCTGTGCAGATAGCGGCGTGCGGTCTTGCCGGCCTGTACAGATACCGGGTATTTTCTGGCTGGTGGTGTCTCTGTGTAGAAGTCTTTGTCCATTTGATTCATCACAACAGGCAATGCTAGAAGTCTATGGCCGGTTGATTCATCACCGTTAATTTGATCATCGTAATATAATGCGCACGTTTTTTTTTTTTTGTGATGAATTGCTGGTGCGGCTTATACTCCGGAAAGTACGGTACTTCCAAGTGATCGTGATGGTGCAGACATGACGAACCCGCAGGAACTGTAGAGAATAAAGTCAGTTCTGAACTGAACACACATAGTGCACCATTGGCAAGGGTTAGGTAAGCTTGAGCATTTTTATCGCCATCTACTGAGCTCTGTCGCAATATTTTACATCTACTGAGTATTGCGAATTTGTTGTTTTCATGGTGTCGATCTGGTAGAAGTCTACACCCGATCAAGTAACTATTAGTACAGTACTGGTCAATGAAATCCAGCCACGCCTTGCACCATTACACAGCCCGGTGTTCACAGGTCACGATGCCCAGCGCGTACTTGATGGATGCGACCGGATTTCACTGCGCAGCACTGTGCTTACATGCAGTGTCAAGAGTCCGTTTATGCAGTCTTGCCAGTATGGACAGTGTGCTAAAGCGTTCTCCAGCATTCAGGGCACGCGAAAACACTGCAGCTATGTACACACCCATGCGTGCATCACAGGAACAGATGCACCCGAGCTGCACACCCACTCACCATGCATGCATCACAAGAAGTGAAGAACACACTGGAGCTGCCTGCACAGTGCACACAAACACATGCATTGGAGCTGCATGCACACACACACACACACACACACACACACATACACACACCCATGGATGTATGCCGTGGAGATTTTCTCCTGGTATTTTAAAGGCAGGAAACAGAAGCAGAAAAAACGTACCGCGTACGTAACAGCACAAGTGCAAAGACGTCTGTGCACACCAGCCAGCCTCCGCAGCCCTGCTGGCCGCATACCGCACAGCAAGCACACGCGTACACTGGCCGTTCTGCTGAACAACGCGACGACGTCACAGAATCATAAACGCTACATGATGAATAAGAGAATCTAAGTGTCCACGCAGGTACACCAACACCTACACCGGCCGTTGCAATGTGTCTTTAGGCCAGAGAGCAAAAATACACGTAATTCGAAGTACAAGATCAGTAACAAGTCTAGGAAAATATAAAACAAAATGCTATATTGTAGTGGCAATTGGTGAGCACTTCTCTAGTCCATATCCCACATTGAATCCACACGGTGTCATTTGACCAAACAAGAAGAAGAAAAGAATCGGGAACGCGACAGCCTACAAGCACCCCGATCGGTCCTAACAATGATACAAGGAAGATAATACACGGTGTAAACCTCTCTAGGTTGTTAGTGCAGGGAATAATCATCAATGGAAGATAGAGAAATGGCGCCAGCACTGGAAGTGGGGGAAAGAAGGTGAAAGGAAAGCGAGTGAAAGAAACTTGGGAACTCACGGAAGATAAGAAACGGAAATATTGCAGGGGGATAAGGCAATGAGAGAGAGAGTGAGAGAGAGAGGGGGGGGGGGGGGGGAGGGGAGGAGAGAGAGAGAGATGTCCGGTTGAGAATGGATTTGCTAAGGTGGAATGCGATGATGCTTTAGTTCCTTATTCCTCAGTGCTTTGTGCTGGCACCTCACTTGCATCTTCAGCTTTCTTCTCCTCTTGCTCCTCAGCAGCTGCCTCAGATGTCTCAGTGGCTTCATCTACTGCAGGTTTGGACTCCTCAGCCTCAGGTTTGGACTCCTCAACCTTTTCCGAGGCTTCTCCTGCTGCCTGCTCATCGGAAGCTTCGGCTTCCTTGGTGGGCTCGTCTACAGCTGCGGGCTCTTCAGTGGCAGCTGTGGGCTCTTCCGTGGCAGCTGCGGGCTCTTCGGTGGCAGCTGCGGGCTGCTCTGTTGTTTCAGCAGCAGCGTCGGCTGCAGCAGCAGCAGCTGGTTGCTCTGTGCTGGCTGGCTGATCCTCGGCAGCGGGTGCGGCTTGAGCAGATTTATTTGCGCGTGCGGGGACGGCGGGTAGCTTGGGGTAGGTGGGTGCCGGCCGGACGCCAAAGTCGCCGCACAGTTTGCCGGTGAGCAGATCGTGTGCCTTCATCTTCTTGCAGACAAACGTGGGCAGCGCCGAGCCGTGATACATTCCGATGCCGTCAATACGGCCGATCGGCACCACCATGGTGGGTTTGGTGTGGCTACACTGATAGACCTTCTTCGGCTTGCCATTGAGCAGTGCCTTCATCATACTGATCAAGTACTGTGTACACAAAATATAATAGCACAAAACAAATAAATAAATCACACGTGTGCGGAATTGACATGCGTGTATGAGAGAGAGAGAGAGAGAGAGAGAGAGAGAGAGAGAGAGAGAGAGAGAGAGAGAGAGAGAGAGAGAGAGAGAGAGAGAGAGAGAGAGAGAGAGAGAGAGAGAGAGAGAGAGAGAGAGAGAGAGAGAGAGAAAGCTACAGACAGATCGCAGCACCAATGTAACTAAATGAAATGAACAACAACCATGTGAATTCAGATACACCACACACATGAAAATCCCAAAGGTGGGTATGTTGTCCAGTGGACCAAGCACTGCAATGTCTTCATGTGGCTATGATATGTGCATACGTGAAGCAACCGGGGCACACACCCAGTGTGCGCACCCCCCCCCCCCCCCCCCCCACACACACGCGCATACACACACACACGCGCATACACACACACACACTTACCACAGCCTGATCTGTGCAGTGCAATGCCATCTTAGGCACGGGCCGATTGTTGCAGTCGCCAATAGCAAAGATATTCTCCTCTCCCTGAACTTGCAAGAACTCATCAACCTTCACGTAGCCTTTCTCGTCGATTTGCTCCGCCGATAAAGATCCAGAATACGCTCCCTTGTTTGGGAACACACCGATGCAAGGAAACACAAGGTCTGCTTCAATCTGCTCATTCTTATCAGTCGATAGCGTCACTGGGCCGGGAATGCTGACGGAGTTGAGGGCGTGGTCGGAGAGGCTTTCCACCACCGACGACAGGTCCACCTTCTGGCCGAGCACGAGGCGCACACCGAGCGCATCCAGCTTCTGCTGCACGCCACGCCTCATCTTCATCGGCATGTCGTCGGCGAGAAGGCTGTCGTAGCTGTGGATCAGCGTCACCTCTTTGTCAGGATGCTCTACGGCGATCTCTGCAGCCAGCTCCACGCCGACTGCTCCGCCGCCGACGATCGAGATGCGCTTTGCCGCGCACAGCCTCTCTCGGCACTCGTCGTACGCGCGCACGATCTCCTCCTTGCCCTTTGCAAGCACGTCCACGGGTACCTTGGCCGGGAAAGCACACTGCGAGCCTGTGGCCAGGACCAGGTAGTCGTATTTCACGGCCTCCTCCACTCCCTCCACCGTCACCGTCTTCTCCTCCTTATTAAATCCGGTCACCTTGCCTCTGACCTGCTTGAGTTCGCGAGAGTGACCCTCTCGATCCAGAAGCACCATGTCGCTCCATCCAGGCAGGACCACGGTACGAAGGCTGGCCAAGGACTGGTGCAGGAATGGAGACGAGTCGATCAAGGTCACATTGCAAGCACTTGCGATTCCTCGCGCCAACTGGATACCAGCAAATCCACCGCCGACAACCACCACGGATACGTCCTGACGAGACTGCGAGTGCCCCATTATTTTATTTCAGGCGACTAAGCAGAAGATCCAAGCAAAATAAAGTAGCGACGTAGTCGTAGGGTCTAGGTGCAGCAAGAGGCAGAGGAGCGTACTAAGGTGTGAGTTGCACAGCTTCTGTGAACGCATCTAACTGGAAAAACTGCAGGCAGCCCGACCAGTTCATTCAAAGAGAAGGGTTCAAGTCAAGGAGGAACTCAACACTCCACTACAGCATTCGGGCTCGATCGCGATCGCATCGAGCCAAAAGTCGTCAACAACCTGGCTCAAGTCAAGTCAAGTCTCAAGATCATTCTTTTTGAAGAGCCACGTGATGTACCACACTGGTGAATGCAATGGCTCCGTCAAGAGTACATAAGTTATAACCCATGAACCCCCCGGGGGGTTATCATGGTTATGTACCAGGCTTTTTTTTTTTTTTTTTTTTTTTTTTTTTTTTTTTTATGTACCAGGCTTGACTGCAGTCAGTACTACTACAGTAGGTCTACGTACAGATGGTACAGATCAGTGAATGCCATGGCCCATGGATGTTCACCATGATCACGTGGTCAGCCCAGTGAATGGCGTGCATTCCGTCACTTGCAAGCGCGCGCGCGCGCAGCATGCAAGCAGGGAGATGCAAGAGTACTCTTGCTGATACATGACAATCATGTATCAGCAAGACTAAGACTAGTAAGAGATTGTACATGTAGCGGCAAGATTAAGAGTGGTCATGTATCAGCAAGAGATTGTACATGTAGCGGCAAGAGTGGAATAAGACATGTTTTAGCTGATCGCGGCCCAGGCCCAGATGGTGTTTATCTACTCTTGCTGACAATAATGATAGTGATTGGACTCGTAGAGAGGGTCTACTAGTACGAGTCGTACTACTCGGACTCCCTGCTTGCTGCAGGGCATGCACTTGCAGTGCAGTCACTCAGTGGCGGAGACGGCCCATGAATGTAGCAATAAAAACTGCTTTATGGCAGTTTTCTAAAAAAGGTTATTGTGTTCTAGTCCATGGACCCAGTCTAAAAAGTAAGAAATTAACGAAATGTGATAGCTGAAAATTAAAATTTCACACAAAACCTCACAATAATCACACACAGAATGAAAAGATACATGCAGAAGACCTTTTCCCCTCGTGATCCTCTTTCCTATGCATGCATGTTGCCAATTGTTGGAGCAGTACAAGTTTAGTGTTGAAAGCAGCATTTCAAGTGTTGTGATTATTGTGAGGTTTTGTGTGAAATTTTAATTTTCAGCTATCACATTTCGTTAATTTCTTACTTTTTAGACTGGGTCCATGGACTAGAACACAATAACCTTTTTTAGAAAACTGCCATAAAGCAGTTTTTATTGCTATAATTTCTTTTGTTTTTTCTGTCACCAATCAATGGAATTCCCTATATCAATATGTAAATGATGGCCTTCACATCATATCAATACCATATTATACGCATTGATGTGCAAGCCTTTTCTTGCAGAAAATGGCACTAGCATAATGCATGTTCTTCTGCGGGGAAACATGTGAGCAGTGGTGGTGATACTTTTTTTATACGGAGGTCATTCTGTGCATGTTGCTGTTGCAGAATTTCATGACTCTGTCATAAAATTGTCTTGCCTTTCAGATATTTCAGATTTCTCCACCCTCAACCAGATTTATTTGAGAAATGTAGCCATGCGCCAGGTGCGTGTCGCAGATGTTTTTGTTGATTCTGTGTTTATAATGGTTTATAGTCATGGGTTATCGTGATAAGGTCATCCAGCATCATATTGAAACTGAAATCGTAATCCTGTTGATGTCGATACAACTTTTGGAAGTAGTTCAATGACTTCAAACTGTTAGTCCACGATTGTCTAAAACAACACAGCAAAGGAGGAACAATAAACATGTATTAAAATGTAAACGAATACATTGCTGAGTCCAAAACCTCGTTCCAACAACTACACTGATCCTGAGGAGAAAAGGGGCAAGGCTATGGTTGGAGGTACTGAGAGATAAACAAGGCACTCCACAATGATAAAATCTTACATATCTTTTGGTGAGTATGAATGATATCCAGTCGAACCTCTTTAGGACGAACACCAAGGGACCGATGGCATTTATTCTGTGAGTTTGTCTTAACCTATTTTATAACCAGTGAATACAATTATTTCTCCAATAGACATACGAATAGATTTCTTCTACAGCGAAAGATTCTAAGCCACACCGACTCATTGACTCGTCTCGTATGAAACAATTGAGTCACTAGAGAGATTCTGCAAAACGAAAATGCGTACAAACTTTCGCTCTACATCATGAAGTGCGAAACTTCGCACCTTTGGACGCGAAACTTGCAGGGAACGCGAAATGAACTGTCGTAGGAAATTTCGTGAGATCGGGTCATGGCGTACGTGCACTTGGCCCGCGCAAACGAGATTTTCACGAGACGGGACTGCACCCATTGGCTTGTTTCGTATGAAACAAACAAGTTACTGAACCTCTCCACAATAGAGATTTCCCCTGATATGCGAATTTATTTTTCAAACTCGGTCAATTGGTACTTGAACCTTTCCCTCCAGATTGGGAACTGCCAACGATAGTATGCCACTGACCAGTGCCTTACTTGTAACGTACCAATGTACAATGAATATGAGTATTTCGACAACACATCTAACATAAGCCTTACCGTCAAGAAGTTGAACTCGCGTTCTTCGCACACTGTAGACAAGGGCAAAGAGATAAAAATGGATCTAAATCCGAATAAAATCAGCACACGTTTCCGTAAATGAAAGGTGAACATAAGCAAATGAATCGAAGGAAACCGGTAAACTTAGAGATCACCTGTCATCGAGTATTCCGTAAAAGGAGGCCTCGCAGCTCGGCAGCAGAATAGCAAAATTTAGAAAAGAGATCCTGTCAACTTTTCCATTATTTATTGCATTCCGCCCCAAAATCAGCACACTTTTCCTGAATGAAAGAGTCAACACAAGCAAATGAATCAAAGGCAACTGGTCAACTCACCTGTCATTGAGTAATATTCCGCGAAAGGAGGTCTCAGCAGCGCCGAAACGAAATAAGCCAGGCCATGAGACGAAATATCCGAAACAGCTCATGCAAGAAGCAGTTCCAAAGAAGGAAGTTCCTCGCGCATGCACATCCCAACACGGATCCGCGGACTGCATGCATGTGCACTGAACACAATGTATGCCGTGCACGTGCACAGCACACGGCTACCACGCGTTGGTAGATCTAAGAGCACGTTACGTAGAGACTTACGTAGCCTAAGTGAAATACCGAGCACCTTACGTAGAAACTTACGTAGCATAGCGATGTCGTTTTTTCTGCCATGTGAACACAATAATAGAAAAGCTGACAGATCTAAGAGCACGTTACGTAGAGACTTACGTAGCCTAAGTGAAATACCGAGCACCTTACGTAGAAACTTACGTAGCATAGCGATGTCGTTTTTTCTGCCATGTGAACACAATAATAGAAAAGCTGACAGGATCGCTTTTCTAAATGATCCAGACCAGGGTCTGGGATGGAGTAGTAAAATACAGTTTTTTACTACTCCCGGAGTACTGTCCACATCCTTTATTGCTGAAAAAAGAAAAAAAAGGTTATTGTACCATGCCAGACTGCTATTGAAAGACAATTGGATATCGGTTCCGATATCCAATTGTCCAATCGAGAGCAAACGGCATGGTCCTTGGTTGAGGTAAATGCTGAACGTTTGATTTGTCCCAACCAAGATTTCAGCACTTTCTTCTTTGGTTCGTCACGATTTTCGCTTGCCAGCTAACGTCTAGCGTCTCCGCACTCCAGCTTTCCCCTGTCGGTGTCACGTCCCAGTACACAGCGGAGAGGACTACTAATAAACAGTTCACGGCACTAACAGCCTTGAACAGTACTTCTTTCACTTCGTGAATACAAGAAGACAACTGAAGATGACACAATTCTTCAGTGATCGACCTTCTCTCTCTCACGGAGCTAAGCAGAATGTGCGTCATCACCTGTAGTCGCCATGGAAACGGGATCAGGAAATCGGCGACATGGCAAGTTTCCCTTGCCGTACGCAAGCGAGAGATATACCATCGGAACCGATATCCAATTGTCTTTCATCTGAGCCCTGTTAGGTTCGGTAGACAAGAGACAAGTAGTTTATTGGTTAGAATATACGAAGTAGAAAAACTGATAAGATTCAATCTGTAAACGACAGAGAAGACCTTCAAAGATATGCGTGCGTGCATACACAGTAGAGCTAAAGTTGTACGGCATTACGTCATAACATAACACGCCCCTTCGAAGATAAAATTCCATGGGTGTCAACCGGACACAAAATAACAAACACAGTAACATAATAATTATTATACTCTCACGCCCCTTCTGAGATAAAACCTGGTTTTGTCTCAACAAAAATAAATAAATAAAGTCATAACAGACGAGATGAAATGACATAGGCGTGATGTCAAGATGAGACCAAATGCTACAGACAAACATTGTCACACATATGACTGTCCAGACGTAGATGTAATGGTGAGACGGTCAGGCGTCTTGCGAATACGAGTGCTACGACGAACAGGTTGGGTAGCGGCGTCAGTAGGTACACGTACTGATGAAGTTGGGGAAGGGGTATGACTAGCGGAGTCAACACATGGGGGAACGTACGGACGAAGAAAGCGGCGATTACGCCAGAGGACACGGCCACTAGGCATCTTGACGAAGTAGTCGCGCCGACTGCCAATTGCTACAATGACGACACGCATGGACCACAGCTTGGTCTGGTGGTACTGAACATCAACATGGGTGCCAATCCGTAGAGAATGGAGAGAGCGTGCCGATTTGTCATAATGTGTTTTCGAATCTACAGAGTCCACAGCTTCAGCAGACGCAATCCAGTGTCGATCAAAGCTGGCACGGTGGGCGAACACAAACGACTGGAGGGACTGACCGAACAACACTTGGGCAGGGCTGCTGCCATTAGGGCGGGGAGTATTGCGCCACTCCAACAGGCCGCGTTGGAAGGAGTCTACATTCAGATCTCCATTCCGGGTCGTCTTCTCAATGAGCAGTTTCACTGCTTTCACTGCTGATTCCGCGTGGCCATTGGATTGAGGGTAGTGTGGGGTGGAAAAGCACTGTTCCACACCCCAACGCTCACAGAACTCACGTACACGGGAAGCGGCAAACTGCGGGCCTCCATCAGTGAATATCTTGCGCGGTACGCCAACATCTGCGAACCAACGGCGGAAGTGAC